GCGGCTGACCCTCTGCTGCCAGCATCCAAAGCTGCGGTGCTGGTGAGGTGGGATGTGTCACCCATCCCAAGCACAGCCCAGCCAGCTCCATATGGCTCTGCCAGCTGCCTGCCCTGCTCCCTCGCTCTAACACATGCAGCAGCCCGAGGGGGAAGGCTGAAAACTCCACCAGCAGCTCTGGTATTGAATTTCACAGCTTTTAATATTTGTGTGTTGCTGAATTCACAGAGAAGGGAAAGGAACTGCAACTTCAGGCCTTTTCTTTCTCTTGTTTTGCCTTAATTCTGGGACTTGTGTAATTGTGGCTTAGTGAAGCTCTCCCACATTCCTCACTTCCCAGTCCCTGCAAACAGCTGCTGGCTCTGAGCAGCGTTCAGCAGTGAGAACTGGCAGGAGGCTGAAATACGCCCCTTGCTCCTCCTTTGGACCAACAGTCCCAGCCCAGGAAATCTTTTTCCATTTGAACAGGGAAGCGAATGTTGGAGCACGCGGCGCTCACGTGCAGCCGGTTCCTCTGCTTGTGTGTGGTCCAGGGTTCAACAACCATCCGAGGGGGTGAGCAATGGGCTTTGGTCACCTGTCTGTCCTCGGCCAGTGTCACAGCGAGTGCAAGGTGGTATGGGAAGGAGGTGGTGTTCAGTGTTCTTCTGCTGGGATACCCTCTTTTTTCCGTTTCCTGCTGTGGTATTTCGAAAAGGAAGGAGGATTCGAAAAGGAAGGAAGGAGAATCAACAACCCCCTCCAAACAGCCTCCCTCAGCTCTCCTGCTCTGCTTGTGGCTGTAGGATGTGCAGATGAATGTTTGGTAACAACAACTTTGAGGGGGGATAAAGGTGTTGGTTCTCTCTCTGGAGTTCAGAGCACCTGATGCAGGTGTGTGGCTTTGCAGGTAGGACAGAAAACCCTGCAGCCTTGCTTTGGCTCAGAGGTGGACGTGCTGGTGGTCCATGAGGAGGAGATGTGTTGGTGTGAAACCTGCTATAAAAAGAACTGGCAGGGGCAGGTGTTGGGTTTGATACATCAGGTTTTAATTTGCTGGTTGGAGCAGTAAAATAACTGCCCTTGATGAGTTAGGGGAGAATGAATTACAGTGAAAAAATCCGCTGCAGAGACCGGGGTCTTTTTCTTGGTGATCTGGAGGGATTTGTCACCAAGACCAGTTGAGCTGGGGGTGTTCTGTAAAAATCTCAGAGCGGCTCATAAACTAATTTACAATGAATTCCTGGAGAAAGTGTTGCTTTCTTCTGATAAATGCAGACATGTGGGTGTGTCTGTTCTTTGCTCACTCTTTTTCTATTGCTTTTTTTAAGCTAGCAAGCCACACGAGCATGATGGATGGGACGCTCCACCGAGCGTGGGATCTTCCCCCAACCAACAGGGATGTCATTCTCCGTGCAGATGGCATCTTCCAGTGGAAGCCACCCACTGCTTCTCTGCCTCTTGAGAGACCTGAACTTTTCCATTTGATGGGAAGGAAGCTCATAGCTCCTTGCTGATGGCTGGGAGTTAAAGGAGCAATCGATGACGTGAGACCTTAGGAGGGAGAAGATTATTTTAAAACACAATGAATTTTGTTCATTCACAGTCAGACCCACCTGCTCATGAGCACTGACATGGGGATCTCCAAGTGGTCTGTCTGGCATCTCGGCATGAAGACACCTGTGTCCAGATAGTCTGGACAGCATTCCTTGCAATGACACAGCAGACAAGGAATGCCAAATATCAGACCTCTGGTGTCTCTTAGGCAGCTTGGTGACCGTATGATGGCTTTGGCTTTGGCTCTGCTTTTTTGTGTTCCTCAGGGGCTAAAAGTGATGGTGATCTTTTGTCTCTGCTTCCTGTCCCTTCTCTGTGAGTCCTTAGGATTTATTCGCTGCCCTTGTGCCTTTATCTGAAGGCTCCTACCCCATTCTCTGCTCTTCCCCAAGTCATCTCTTAATTGCTTGAGTCTCTGGGTCAGGGCTTATGGATCTGCCCAATGCAGATCCACAGCAGCTCTGGGCTGGTTTTGTACAGGTCTGCAGTGAGTGGTTGTGTCTGGGGCCACAAACTGTAAGAAGCTGAGTCTCTCCAAAGAGTTTTTGCTCTAAATTAGCAAGGAAAGTTGCTAGTGTTGGCAGGGAGTGGGTGGTGGTACCTCATTTGCCCTCGACCAGAGGGTTTTCAGGCCGATGCACTTCTCTGCAGTCTCCTAAATGCATCGTGAGCATCTTCTGTGAGAGGCTGAGCTTGTTTCCCTCTCTGAAATGGCTTGTTGTGGGTAGAGAGTCAGAGTGAGTTATGTGCTTCACTCGTGAGAGATACGTAACAATATATTTATTGATATATAACAGTGAATTAACAACGTTCAAAGGTTAATGTGACATTTGTTTAACAAGATTTGATGGCAAGGTTCACTTGATTATTTACTGCATATAGGACGGGGTCAGATAAAACTGTCAGGGAGACCTTCCTGTTGAGTCATGAGGTTTGGGAAGGACCCCCTTGCTCCCTAAACTTATCTTCTCAGAGAGGAGTCTAGGTGTGGCTAGATCCAATCCTAGTCCCGACCTTGGTCAACTGTTTATGTCTAAAGGATTATATATGCACACAACCAATCCTTTCTGTCACTCAGCTAAGATTTTGCAGTTTAGCATGCTGTTAGTCACTTCCTGAGGGTCTGTTGCAGCAAGGAATCTCTCAACCCAGAGGAGTAACCTTGAGAAGCATCCCTACTCGAGGGGAGATCCTGGTGTGCAGGAGAGCTCAATGGGCCCTGGGCTGTCCACTATTTATGGAGTAAGGTGATTGAGCTACAGTCATACTTGCACACCAGCCGTATTTCAGTCGGTGTGTGCTCAGCAAGCCCCTCCACTGCTGGAGCAAGTTGCACAGTAGCCCTTGGCACACTGTCACAGGGTAGGGTGGGATGGATTTGGGGCATGGTTCTCAGTTCCATGTGCTTTCTTTATTTCTCACTGCAGGTCCCTCAGAAGAAAATCGTGCAAGCCCAGCTGCCACTTCCAATCGCGGCGTGCCCAGACCTCAGGGAGGAACATGGCAGCAGCTCAGGGAGCAGGGAGCAGTTCAGCCGGACCATCCGGACTCCCTGGTTCTGCCCCAGGGCACAGCAGCAACTCCACGACAGTGGCAGTGTGGGAATGGCAGGATGAATTTGGCAACTGGAGGCCGTACCGAGGGAATGTCTGTAGCTACATTGAACAGGTTTTTCAGGCCTCTCAGCAGAAGGGCCGGCGTTCAGGATCAGGGCTTGTCAGCAGCATCCCTTTGGGACAGGCGGATCCTGTCTTGGCTCCCTACGTTATCGACATCCCCAGCTTGATGCAGTTCCGGCAGGATACAGGTAAGGGAGTTTCCCTGCTCGTGTTGGGGTTTTAATGAGGCTGCTTGTGTGCTCGGTGATAAGCAGGACCTTGTTCTGCCCTGGAGAAGAGCCCTACAAAGCTCTGCTGTCACTGCTGGGCAGTTCTTAGGTGGGTGGCGTGTCTGCTTCTCTCCTGATGCTGCTGCTGAGCATATTAGCACCTGAGAAAATCAGTGTTGGCTGGTGTGAATCTGTGGGGGTGGGCACAGGCAGGCGGTGGTGATCTCTGAAGGAGCTTCATCGTGGAACCTCTGGACCTCAGAGCTTGTAAGCCAAAGCTTGTGAGCAAATTTTTTTCCTGCCCCCACCCACATCCATTCAAGACCACTTGCATCAAAAGGCCTTTTGACGATTCAGACCCTCCCATTTGAATCCCTTTTTCCCTCTGTGACTGCAGTGCCAGCTGCTTTACCTTGGCACGCTGCCCCGCTCAAGCTGCTTTGCGAAAGCCTGCAGCCCCCACAGAACGTACTAATGCTGCAGCAGAACATTCCCCACACTGGTGCTGTACCAGACTGCCCTGCTTCCTCCCAAGGAGGAGGGGCAGGATGATCTGAGACCTAATTTTCATTCTCATCTCATCTTTCTTGGGGTCACGGAGGCTAGCAGCTCAGAATTTGTTGAGATGACTCCTACCCTCTTTTGTTCCAGATGTACTGAGCAGCTGTAGCTTCGAAAGGGGGCAGGGGTGGAATGCATGCTCTTCATCACTGGAAAATCCAGGGAGATCCCAAATTACACACCTCAAATGAATGGCTGTGTGGGAAAATTCTCTTTACATCAGGTTCCTCTTTGCCAACATTTTTCCCATCACTCCAGGAGACGGTCAAGCGTCACCCCAAGCTTTAGAGATGGACAGTGCTCTGGTTTCTTGCCAGTTGAAGCAATAAATGAGCAATGTCTTGAATCAACTGCACAATCAGGCAGTTCCTACAGGAAAGGGAAGTGGTTGGTGCAGACATGAGTGGTCATCACAGCTGCATCTGTGTTTTAATTCTGACTTGATGACTTTAGGATTAGTTTTTCTAGCGGTGTCCTGGGTGAGGAGCTTGCTTAGCTGGATGCCTTGGCAGGTCTGCTCAGCATGGCCTGTTTGAGCACCTGGAAGCCCTGCTGTGGCTGTGGCTTCAAGCATGGACCACCAGAACTGACACCAGTGGCTGCTTCTTTCTTGTTTTCTCTGTGCCAAACTTGTGAAGGAACCTTCCAGCCTTTTGTCCTTTCAGCCAGTGCTCCAACACATCAGCAGCAGTCCTGGGCTGTCCCTTGTCAAGAAATAGCCCAGTTTGGTGAGGGTGAGCAGAGTGCCCGTGGGATACTGAAAGATATGTCCTCGTGTGAATGGGACATCCTTCTCCACAAAGGTCTGGTATTTAGACCCTTGTGAAAGATGTCAAAACACCTAGTGAACATTGTCCATCGCAGGGTGGTTTGGAGTTGGTCATCTCTGGGGGACAGCCCAATACAGTTTTGGAAAGATGTTGGCTGATGTGATCTCATCTTTCTTTGGATGACCTCTATGACTGAGTTGTTAATAACAAAAAGTTTGATTCCACTTCCTGGCTCTCCTGCAGCTCTCCTGAATCTTCCCCACCGATTCAGAGTGATGTTGATCAGAGTGGCCAGGTCTGTGAGCCTCGCTCCACAGTGTGCTCTGCGATGTGACTATTGGAAACACTCTCATATCCCCTTTTAATGGCCCAGTTTTAAGCAAAGCTTTTTCTCTCTGCAGGATTCTGCCTTAAACGTGAACCTTGCTGAGTGAGCAGCCAGCTGACCTTTGTCATGTGCTGGAGAAAAGAATCTCTGCAGGAAACATCCCCGTGAAAAATCTTTAAACAGAGCAAAAAATAGGCTGTTGTATTCTGCTCATTAGCTATTAGACAGACAAATAGGCTCTTCAAAGGAAGCCAGGGAGAATAACAGGAAGCCAGTGTTAGCAGGACCAGCATCCCCACCAACAGGGAATGACAGCTGTGCTGGGGAATCTTGTGGGCAGGATTAGCCGTGGGCTTCAGCTGCTGGTCGAGGCAGATTAGCTGGGACTGAGTGCAAGGGAGCAGCAGGAGTTGTCCTCTTGCCACAGCTGTTTGCCCACCCTGGAGAGAAATGCCAGTTTCCCTGCCAGCCTGGGGAAAGAGGGAAATTTTCCAAGTGCATGGCTTTGGTCTTGTTATTGGCTCCTAAAAGCTCTTTTCCCTGCTGCTGTTTTGGGATGTTAAAAATACAGATTGCTTGTAAACTCCTCAAGTCCTCTCTGTGCTGCTTTTAGCTTCTGACCTGCCAGTGGAGCAGGGGCAACCTTGCTCATCTCCTCTGAGATGTGTCCTGCTGGGCTTTCTGACACCTTGCTTTACCTTGGTAGTCCCCTTTCTCCTGGGGGCGGGTTCCCTGCACTCATCTCTAAATGGAGTTCATTTCTCACCATCTCCCTTCCAGCCCAGTCTCATCCCCAGTCCTCCTTCTGCTCAGGGGATCGTGCTTGATGTTGCCTACCTGTTGAGACCATGGGTTGTGTTTCTAAAATTTGGCAGGACTTGTTTGCTGGATAGGAGCAGTCATCACTAGAGTTTGCTCTTGACTGTTTCATCTGTTTTCTCACACAAGATGTTGATTCCTGGCTGGGGAAGGTCACCTTGGTTCTGTTGTCACCTTCTGCTCTGACTTGTGCCAGAGGAAGGTCTTGTCACACAGGAACCCCTGGGCTTTGTGATTGAGCTATTTGGGTTCAACCCCAGTCCTTATGGGGTTTTGCTGCCTGCTACTAGCTTTTTAGGTGTGCTGATGGGATGTTGTCTGTTGGATGGTGTCACCACAGAGTCCTGCTCTGCAATAATCAGGATGCTTAGTGTGGCTCTGGCCACCAAAGCAGAGCTTGGGAGTCAGTGCTGGACCTTTCCTCGCTGCTGATTTCCCTGTGTGGGCTGAGACAAGCCATTCCAGTGCCCAGTGCCTTCAGCTGCCCAGCAGAAATACAAGTCCTGCCATTCCTTAGTGTGGCACACCCTGCCTTTGAGAGAGCCTCAGCCTTTATGTCAGCTCTGGAGCTCACATCTGTCCTTCCTGATTTAGTTTCTGCAATGACATATGGGACATAACCCAGCACAGGGTCTTGTTAATGGTCTGACCATCAAAGCACTGGGCAGAAACCACCAGCACGATTTACAAAGAAGCCTGGGAGTGTGATAGGAGCAGAGATGTTACTTTCATGTTGTTAAACAGAATTTTTAGCAGCGAGGAGGCGATTAACACCCTTATGGTTTGAGTCAAGTCCTAGCAGTTTCTGCAGTACCCCAAGAGCATGGAGTAGAAATAACAGCAGTGTGAGGCAGAGGTGGTCGAGCCAGCATTCAGCCAGCCAGAGCCTGAACACAGATAGACATCAGATTTTGTCATTGTGGAGTCCCACGTGGGCTGTCCTCTCTCTTCCCTGGGTGTGCTTGTTGGCTGTAAAGCTTCCTCAGATTGACTGACTCCCCTGGAGCCACCAGCAACATCCTGGGGCAGTTCTCTGCAGGCTTTAGGTGCAGGTACTGTTTTTTCCTGTGGTCCTGGAGCTTAGGGTCATAACTTTAATGACCTCCTAGGAGAGATTACTTTAATTTTTTCCTCTTGGTGCTGTTCTTCTCTGAACTCCTCCAGTGTTGTCAGGACTCCCCCACCTGCCTGCATCCCCAGACTTGCTTGCCCTGCGGCGTTTCTCTCTCCTCTTTCCCAGTGCAGAGTGCTGCTGAGGATTTTCCCAGTTTTGACCCAGCTGCAGGAACTCATTTTTGCAGAGGTTGCAGAGCTTCTGTCCTGTTGGGTGGCTTTACCTCCTTCTCATTAGGCTTTTTCTTTTGTAAAGAAAGGAATAAAGTAACCAGGAGCGAAGTCACCCTGGAAAGCCAGGCTTCTAGGGGATTTCGAGCTCCTGCTGTTGCTGTCGAGGAGCCTTGCCAGAGCAGCGTGTCTGCTTTCATTTCTCTTTCTTTGTCTGAACAGCTGCTCTCTCCACTTTCCAAATTACTTCGTTGTCTTCTCCTCTCTAGTCTCGCTCTATCTCCCAGCAGTCAGGAGCATGAAGAAGCTGGCCTTGTCCATCCTCTCCAAAGTCCTTATTGGATTTCACTCACTCCCTCAAGAGCAAAATTGCCCAGGTCCTTGTGTAGTGAAGTGGGTGTTTAGCCCCTTACATGCTCCTGCGAAGCACTTCCCGCTTGTATCATGTCTCTATAGTTACTCTGTTGTCAAGGCTGTGGGGGTTGTTATTTTTTTTTTAACCAGAGTGCCTCAGCCTGATTTTTTTCTTCTTTACTTTTTTTTTTGAACGTCAGGAAGGCATATGTGATCGCTGTGCCTTTGTGCTCGGGTGTGTCTGTCTCTGTATCCTCTCTCCTTCCCTCTTTTCCCACCCTTCCTCCCAGCAGTTTTTGAACCTGTTGCCAGCCCATAATCTGATTTGGCAGAGTGACAGGGATCTCAGGGGTATTGTGTTTCTCGAAGCTTCATGAGCAAACCCAGCCCTGTTGGGAAGAGAAAGTCTGTCAGTGCCCCTGTTGAGGCAGAGGTGAGGAAGGCCACCCTGATGTAGACACTGCAGCTCTGTGCAGAAATGAGTTCCCGAGACCAATATCCACCTTAATTCTCTGCTCACAAAGTGATTGTATTTATTTTTTCCCTTCTCCCCGTGCAGGGACGATGCGGGCTGTCCGCAGGCACCTCTTCCCTGGGGACTCCGCTGCCGGGCAGGGCATCGTCTGGGAGTGGCAGAACGACGAAGGCGGGTGGTCCCCCTACGAGATGAACGTCTGCGTGTTCCTGGAGCAAGCCCGTGCCACAAACCACCAGCGAGTAGATCTCGGACCCTTGGGCTACAACTACGAAGTTGACTTTGTGTCTCAAATCCAGACCAACAAGACCACAGGGTTCCGCCGCAGCGTTCAGAGGCGCTTGGACGCCCCGTACCCGGTGACGACCTCCCCAGCGCCCCTTCACACCGGGGTGGCTTGTTCCTGCCAACAGTGCTGGCTAAACAGTGGGACTGGTCCCATCACCACACGTTACCGGCACTCCATGATAAACTTTCCCAGCTCTTCCATTACTCATCAGGTTTCTGGTAGAACATCATCAATAAGTTCTTCCAGCGTCAGCTTCATGCCCTATAACAAACCACCTTTGTCTGGAGCAAGGTCAACAGCAAGACTCAATGCACAGAGCACCTGGGCTTTGCCTCAAGCTGGGGGCCCCAGCACAGGACTGTCTGCATCTAACAAAGTCAGGTACAGACCCTAATTCACCTTTAAATTCTGAGCATGTGTCTGAGAGACCTGTTGTGCTCAGGTCTTTGTTTTTAGGAGCCTCTCTGTCCCAGAGGACTTGACAAGGGTCTTCTCCCTAGACTGAGAGAGATATTTGTACCTTTGTGTCCAGTACAGTGGATAAGAAGCCCTCTCCTCTGCTTTTCCCTTCTTTTCTCCCACTTAAAATCTAGTCCCTGTCTACCAGTCTCCCTGAACCACTGGAGAAAGCAGTCAGGTTGAGATACTGCAGATTTAAGGAAATTAAATGTGATTGGTGGCATTTCTGGTTACGCTTAAAAACAAAACAACTTTGAAGGGGACTGAGTGAATGAGAAGGGGACTTGTGAACACCTTTTTTAAATCTGAAATATGCAGTAAGCATAGAGTGGAAAACTGCTGTGTTCAGAGCTCTTCCCCTTCAAGGAGGGACCAGAGGACTCACTGCCTGTGGCTGAGACCTCGTGAGATTTTTGTCAACATCAGGAAGTCCATGTTGGACACTTTTAAGGTGAAAAAAACCCAATCCTAAGACATGGATTTGATGAAGAATTTTTTTTAAATCCATTGTAAAGATGTTTAGAAAACCAGATCAGTCATTTACTTTCCCATTGCTTTGATACCTTGAACTGTACTGATCCCTCTCTATCTGAAATCAGTGGGGTGACAGTAGCAATTTAAGTGGTGCCCAGGCTATTTGTCAGGCTAAATGCTGATGCAGAGCAGAGATGCCACTGGATAATTGTGGAAGAGGTTCCTCTGCACAGCTGCTGGGCCAAGCCGTGGTCAGTTATCCCCCACAGACTGGAGCAGGGCTGTGGCACTGGGCTTCAGCAAGAGTTCTGGGGCTGGAAGAGATCAGTGTCACCCTTGCAAAGTGAGCCACTTCCTTCCACATTCCTTTAGGATGGACTCTGTGAAGCCTGGACACCCAAACCAAGCCAGGTCATCACTAATCAACAGGTAGACAAGGTGCTTGGTGGTTTAGTAGTGGACAGGTAATGGTTGGACTCGATCTCAAAGGTTTTTTCCAACCAAACAATTCTATGATTTTATGATTAATCGGCTTTCAGGGTCTTAACTCTTTCTGTGCACAGATCTTTGCTCGCAGAGGTCTCTGTGGCGTGTCTGTGATAATACTTACACCCAGTATCTGCCAGCATTGACCAAGCAAGGGCTGTCTGACTGCTCTCTCTGTTTGTAAACAGCTGGAAGTGTACAGAGCAATATATACATTTCACCGTAAATAATCCAGGTGTGAGCACCTGAGAAACTAAAGAGAAATTTGCCAGGGCTGATTTACCTGTCCAAGCCACCCCGAGTAAATACAGAGATAAGAGATTTAGAAGGGTGGTGAAAGCACATTCTGCTAATTACACGAGGCACAGAGGTTTGAGGTTTATTTTGAATCTTGTTTGTATTTTAAACAAGATGGTGAATCTTGAGATATTTTCCTTCGTGTCGTATCAGGACTTTCCCCTCTTCGAGGTCATTTGAGTGAAATGACTTCCTCCATCCTGTTCTTCTTTCTCACGGCCTTTTTCTGGTGCTTTCTTTGCACCTGGTGATTTTTTTGTGGTGTCTTAAGCATCTGCAATACTTCTCTGTTCCAGTCACCTTCAAATAGGGCTGAAAATCAGACCTTAGTACTGCCTGCAGGAGCCCCCAGTGAGGCTCTTGCTGTCTCCTGAAGAAGCTGCCAAATTCCCCCTGTCACAGGAGCTGCTAGTCAGTGTGTGGAGCTGCCTGGAGCCCCCGTCCTTCCCTAGAGCCTCAGTGTGATTTGCCAAGTGACCCTCAGGGTGGGAAGATTAAAAACAAAGAGCCAAATACTGCAGCAGTTGCCCCACAAGCCTGTCTGGAGCCCACCAGGCTCTGGGTTTGTTGTGTGCTGGTGGTATGATGGGAGGACAGGCTGTCCTGAAAGGAGGCAGGATGGGAGAGGGGTGTTCAGAGCAGGGTGTCATGGGCTCCTTACCATGAACTGAGCCCACAGCCTCGGCAGTGCTGACTGGGAAGAGAGGGACAGCCTGGAGGAGACCTGGAGGTGCCCAACCAGTGTGCTGTGGAGGACATTCTCATGGCAGCCTCTTGGGCTGGGTCCCAGGAGCTGCTGGGGCAGCGGGCAGCTCTCAGCGGCCAGTTAAACCCTGTGACAGGCGAGTGCTGGCAGAGCTTGTGCTGGGTTAATGCAACAACCCTCCGGGGCTGGCATATGCTCCCTGCTCAGCTGTTCCAGCCTGGTCCTGTCTCTAGCACTGCTGAAGATGACTTTTATGGCAGGAGCATCTGGTCCCCTCCATGATGGCCAGCCTGGGGACAGCAGGAGAGGACAGAGCCCTCCCGGTGCGCTGGGATTGCTGTGGTACTGGTGCTGTGGTACTGGTGACGGTGTTGGCAGTGCCGTGTCTGGTCGAGGTCTGGCTGTTACAACCTGTTTTGCAGCTCGGCTGTTCCTGGTGTGCAAGGGGTGAGGTGGCTGGTACCTTGGCAATAATCCCCAGCCAAGCCAAGCCTTTCAGGGGGATACACAGGGATCATACGGTTAAATCCGTGCTGGGGACAGCAGAACATGCCACATGAGGAAGGTGGCAGGATGCCCCAGGTCTCGCTGGGGAGGTGGTGTCACAGGCAGGACGTTAGGAGCTGTTTTTATCTCTACAACTCCCTTTCTGTTCATTAACACTGGTGTTTTTCACTAGACATATCTGTGGAAGCCCCTGTTTTCCATACGCCACCGCAGGAGCATGCCTGGATCACAGATCCAGCCTGTGGCCGTGTGCTGAGCCTGGAGGGAGGCAGCAGCTGGGGGTTCACCCAAACAGACCCCAGAGAAGGGCACAGCAAAGATGTGCATTGGTGACTCTTCATGGATGATGTCTGGATCTTCAGCCCTTTGGGATTAGTTTTGCCAGGGGCACTCTCCTTCCTCCCTGACAGGCAGACAAATGCACGCAGGGGGGTAATCCTCTGGGTTCCAGATGTGACAGGGACGTTTTCAGCACCAGCTGACAGCTTGAGATGGCTTTTCCCCTGCCATCCTGCTGCTGGGTTGGAGTTGGAAATGCTGCTGGGTGGGTGTAATTGTTCCTGGCTGGGCTTCCAGTCTCAGGCTCGTGAAACCCATGTTCCAGCAGAAAATACTCTAATTTCTGTGAATTAGGGGAAACCTGAGTAGCAGATTCTAACAATGTGTTTCATTTAATTCCTAAGCCCAGAACATTCCTGGGTGAGTTTATCCCTCAGGTTCCCTGTTTCCCCCTCGGCTGGGCTTGGCATGGTGGTTGGTTCCCTTCCCCTTGCATTTGCTGCCCTGTCTTCTCCTGCATCACCAAATAGTGTGGCCTTCGTGGCAGGGAAGGTGAAGTGCTCGTTATCCTGCACTAATTAGCCCACTAAGGGTTTCTGCCTGTGTGCAGCATTGCTCATTCCTCTTGGCTGTGCTGTGTAATTCCTGTGCTCAGAGGCTGGAGGGAAGGGAGCAGCGGGCCATGGTGGATCCTCTGGTGTCTAATAAAGGTTGTGTTGTGTTCACCCCACAGCCTTTGGCTCTAAAGCAGCTTTGGCAGATTAATTGCTTTTACAAAACTGCTTATATTCACAAAACTAACAGCAATAACCCAGCTCCTGCCTCTCAGAGCTGAGCTACAACTGGCAGGAGGGCTCAACAGCTATTAAGGAGAGACTGAAAGACAGAGCAGTTGCGTACACCCAGTTTCTTTAGGAAACACAGCTAAAAATGGCAGTACAGAAGCAAAAATCTCTTCTGCAGGACTGAGGCAGAGGTGTAGTTCATCCTGGAAAGCTGCCTACCTCCCTGTGTGGCTGTGAGAGCTCTTTCTAAGATGCAGGCAGGAATAGCCCCCAGTACAGGCTGTTAGTGCAGGCGTGCCTGGGCTTTTGTGGCATTGGCGGTGATTAAATTTATTTCCTGCTTGCTGCAGGGCTGGTGGGTGGATGCTGGTGTGAGAGAGGGTGCAGCTCAGGTGCTTCAGAACACAGGTTTAACTTCCTCATGCTCTCAAGAGGGTCAAAGTCTCAGCAAAACCCAGAGGGGAGTGCCAGAGCTTAAATAGATGCTAATATCCTTGGCTCTGCTGCTAATGTATTAAATATACGTGGGCAAGTTAGTTTGCTTCTCGTTGCATTAGTTTCCTCCTGTGTATTACTCTATTCTAGCAAAACTAGGACATAAACACAGTGAATCCAGCCTCCCCCCTCACAGACAGCACTGAAATCTGCAGCCAGAGCATGCCATGGCAAGGGTTGTGTCCTTATATCCACACTAATAACCGAATCTGTGAGGCAGGGATCAGGATCTCAGCTACCTCCTGGCATCATCCTTCCCACCCTGCATGAGTAATCATCCATCCCTGGGGAGAGAGCTGCCCCGTTACTGTGCTGGGTAGTTACAGAGAAGGGCACTCCCAAAACACAGTCAGGAGTGTCCTGCTTGTAATATGAGCAAGTAAAGCTGCAGGAAGCAATTTTCTCAGGGATTTATTAATTAGTGTTCCAGCCAGGCAAATCCCCGCTGTAGCTCCACTGGCCCGGCTGAGCTTGGGCAGCTTTGGGTGCTTGTCTGGATTGTGCCTGTAAATAAGTCAGGCAGCTTAGTGGGGAGGAGGATTTTGTTTGAAAATCCTTCTGTGGATTCCCATCCTTCCTGGGGAAGGATGCTTATAGTATCGTGGTCTTCCCAGGAAGGGTCTGTTGCTGTGCCCCCAGTTTCCCATGGCGAATGACCCATGTTTTGTAGGATCAGGAGGTGTAATGGAGGGACCAGAACCTGGGCAGGGCCTTTCCCCTTCTCCTCCTTTGCATCTTTCAGCAGCTTTGTCTGTAGGCACACCCAGAAGCTCCTCAGGTGGTGAGGAGGGGTTCTGGTCCCACAGCCCTTTGTTAGCCAGCGTGGTTCTGTCACCGGGTGCTCTTCTCCAGCAGTAGTAGGGGAATCTCCTCTGCTTGGCGCTGTGGATCCACGTGGCTGTGTGCAGGACATGAAAGAGGTCCTCACCACCAAAATCCCTTTAGAGGGATTTGGTTTGGGTTTTGGCATCGTCCTGAGAAGAAAGGTCAGGGAGAAACAGCTGTATGGTCATTAGTGTCATTGTACACTGGGTTAGCCCCAGGAAGGGGGTTAGACATTTGGGTGGTGTGGTAGCACTTGGTGTTAATGTGAGGCAGGGCTGGGTGCAGCCCTGATCTGGGAGGAGAAGCGTTGGCCATTATCCAGAGGGCTACAAGGACACCGTGATACAGGGATATGTGGCCTGCTGGCTGCTGTGCAGGGAGAGGGGAAGGAAGAAAGGGCTGTATCAGGTGGGGAGGGGGAGTTGCTACAGAATTCCCTGTTTCTGCTCCATTCGGGTATTATGCACGTGTGGCTTGGGTGATGTTCAGCTCAAACCTGGCCAGCCAGTGTTTGAAATGGCAGCAGCTGTGGATGCCACACTTCCTCCCTGGTCTCATGCTTTGCTGTCTTACCAGAGTTGCAGTATCTTGAAATTCCAGAGAAGTGAGTGGTTTTGTCATGCTGAAATATCAGAGTGCCCCATCTGCCTCCTACAGCTGATTGCCACGCTCTGCTTTTGGGAACCAGCGATGGGAAATCCTACCAGGATCTTCTTGCTGAATCTTGGAGGACAATGTTTCTTTTGTGTCTGTTTCTTCACAATCTGGTGACCCCTGTTGCACTCAGTCACTTCGGGTGTATAGAGCAGCAGGAGCTGCAGCAAATGGCAGGACAGCATTCCAGGACTTCACCCCATCCTGGCTTCAGCCCTCTCCCAGGAGGTATGGTGATACTGGAGTAGCTGGAGCCTGAGCTGATGGACTAAATCCATCTGTTGGTGCTGCTGGTGAGCCTGCTCTCAAGAGCTGAGGCACAACCTATGTTCTACTACAATAGCAACATCCTCCCTTGTTACCTCTTCACGTTCCTCCTCCAAAAAACCCCACTTCAGACCCAGGGTAGGCTCTGAGTAGCGTTTCTGCACTTTTTTTGGTGTGGCAACACTTCTTCCCAATCACTGTGGCTGCAAATCTACCCAGGCAGTGTTGTGACAAAGGTACCTCAAAAGCAGTGTGGATTTCCCCTGATTTCATCAGCTTTAGGTCTGGGCTTTCTGCAGATGTCAGTGAAATGCCAGCTCATGGCTGTCCTGCCCGTACACTCACAGGGTGTCGAGCAGGTGGCTCAGCACGTCCTACGATGTTAGCTGAGATGCTGCTAACTGAATGTGCGTGTGTTTAGCCCATGTGAAATAAGAAATATGAGTTTTCTCCATCATCACTTCGGTTGGCTTAAAGCCTCCCAGCAGTCAAGTCTGACACACTTTGCCTTTACACCAGGAGTGCAGCTGACCAGTCACTATTTCCTGGCCAATGGGTTGTAATTTATCTGCAGTGCACTCACAGCTTCCTAAACCTGATTGCTTGCAAAATGCATCAATTGCTTATCCACTTCCTTCTGCAAACCTCCAGGGCTCTTCTCACGTCACAGAAGCTCTAATTCCTGGGTGACTTGGACTTGAGCCTGGCAATGCAGAAAAGAAGAGTGAGGAATTTCTCAGCCGGTGTTCTCGAAGCGCTGTTCCCAGTGTTCCCCTTCCCAAACCCCTCTGGGTTTGCTTTCTTCAAATGTACATTACATTTCTCAGGTATCAGGATCCCGAGATCCCCCGCTGCCTATCTGCTTTCCTGGCAGAGTGGAAGGTTCAGCTGTGTGCTTTGTGGTATTTTTACCTTCCATGGGGAAGTGAAACCACCCAGGGTGGCTGCTGCACTTCACCTTAGGACAATGAAGCACAAGCTCTTTGGTATCAGTCACGTGCAGGGTGGAGGGGGTGCCCAGGCACCGTGTTGTCTTCTTGGCTGCTCAGTTTGAGGAGGGAAGGAGAGAAAGTCCAGTGCCTCTTTGATTTTTGGGAGCAGATCTCTCAAGTTCTTTTTCATTATCTGGTCCTCAAACACCCTCCTTGTCTGCAGCTGGAGAGGGAGCAGCCCTGCTACCGACCATCATCTGAAGTGGATCATAGGTAAGAGCAGAAATGAAGCAGAGAGATGACATAGAGAAGGAGGAAGGAAATACCTGGAGAAGAGCTGTGATGAAGAGGCTAAATCAAGAAAGAAAAAAAAGTCATAAAGAGGAGTAACAGCATCTGATTCAAAACCTTTTGAAACTGAGGGGAGGATTTCCACTGTATTGGATCGGTTTGAATTGGGCTGTAGGGAGAACAATACGTTGCGTCATTTGGCGACATTGCAAAACTGGGGGCAGTGGAGGGGAAAACACAGTCTTTGAAAGAGACAGAAGGGAAACCTCTGTGGTCTGGAGAGCTTTTTAAGGGCCTGGAAGAGCTGGTCTTGCTTGGCCAGGCTGTTAGTGGAGCACCAAGCCCTGGGTCCTGACAGAGATTTCTTCAGGGAGCTCAATGGATGTACAGAAACCTATTTAAACTGCAGCAGGTAGGAGAGGAGGGAGGTGGGGAGTCATCCCTGTGGAAGACAGCCATGTGTCACCCCCAAATCTGTTCAGCTCTGGTCATTGTCATGGAAATGTGGACAAAGATTTTAGCAAGGCTGAAGAGAGGGACTGCTGTCTGTGGTGCTATTTTGGGTACAGTGGCAGCTCTTACATCCCAGCTGGAGAGAATTAGGTTCCCTCCATAGATGGCATCTAGGCACTTGACCACTTTAGTCTGCTCTCTGAATTCCTAAGGCTGGCCAGGTTTGATGTAATTTGGGGTGTTTTGGGGAGTCCTTTGAGATGGTTGTCTGAATGCAGCTGATGTGCATGAGCCTGCACCTATCCCAGGCACATGTGCCGCCTGAGACAAGGTCTGTGAGTGGCTTCTTTGTGCCAGCATGTTGGATTTCAAATGATCCTGCTCTGCTCGTGGATCCAGCTTGCTTTCTCCTCTAGTGACTCCCTCATTGGCTTTTGCACTGCTGCTCACCCTTTCCTTCCTAACTCCTGTCATCAGCTAAATACATGACCCTAACGTGTCCCAAACTGGCTTGCGGTGCAGCTGCCAGTGCTGGGAAACGCTGCCAAAACAAGCAGCTCATCAACCTTTTGGTGTCCAAATCCTCTTGATTTCCAAAGGAAGGTGGGTGCCAAACACTTCTAAGTCTCCATCAACCTTTCCGTCCTTGTTCCCACATCCTGCAGTAACCCCATGGATGCACAGAGTCAAGGCTTGATTCTCTTCAACCCAGGGCTGCAGCTTTGTGTGCTCAAGTGCTTTTCTTGGCCTTTCCATGCCTCAGTTTCCCCATCTGGAAAGCAGCGTGGGGTGATAATGCTTGCTTCCTTCAGTCTGTACAGCTGCAACTTCTCAGCCAGCATGGAAGTTCACACTTTCTCTGGCTGGAGACCAAGTCACCTGGAAGGTTTTAAGATGAACTTTGCTGCATCCCAGCAGTTCCTGGCTGTGTGCTCATGCCATGGACCTGCTGGTGCAACAAACAGTCTGTTGATGTATCTGGGGCCCTGAAACTCACCAGGGATCAAGTGAATTGTCTCTGCTTTGCTAGTGATTGAGCTGTGCTGTTGAACTTGTCCCTTTTTCTTTTCTCTCTCCAGCACTCCAGACCTGACAATCAAGATGTCCAAACCCAGCAAGCTGAACCAGGCCCTGGCAGGTGAGGATCCTCCTCTGCTCTACCTGCTCTGTCCCTAGGGCTACGTGAGCAAATGCTTTCCCTTTCTGTGGCACTTAGTTTCCTTTGTTAGTTTTTTTAGGAAGAGTCTGAAACATCACTGGCATTGAGGGTTTTAGGCCCAAAGACTTTTCAGAAAGGCAAAGAGGGTGAATTTGAGGGAGAATGGGATGGTCAAACCTTAGTAACTGTGTTTTTTTTTCATCAGTGCTGGTCCTGAGGCTCTCAAAACGAGGGGGTTTATTTGAGGGTTGGATATTCATCTTCTCCCATAGGTATGGATGAGCACATAGCAGGGGGGGAACACACAGATCAAGCTCAGTGCTAGCTGTGACTTGCTACTTTTTTTTACTCAAGGGGGAAGAGTGGTGTGAGATGGCGTGTGGTTTTTAATGTGATTTTTTTTTTTCTTAATGTGGTTTTATTACAAAAGCTCAGTTGGTCTTTAGCTTAAAATATTATTGTGATGCCTTGTCTTGGGGAAAAGAGGAGACAGAAATTGAATCAAACATTATCTCCTGCAGCAGCAGAATCCAGTTTTGCTTGTTATCATCCAAACCTGTGAATACAATACTAAATCTACCTGAGGAGCGTGTCTGGGAGGGATGAAAGTGCCAGTTTTCAATGCTCCTTTTCAGAGTAGATTTGCCCGTTAAACATGAAATGGCATTGCCTTGAAAACAACATCTCGTGCTTGCAGCTTTCAGTGGAAGCCTTTCCATGCCAGGAATAGTTGGTTTGTTTGCTCTGTTTTGGCTCAGCCAGTGCCAAACGGCAGGACCCTGGTGTGGTGGTGCTGGGGGGGGTGGGCGTTCTGCTGGGAGCAGATGACTTCTCCGTATCGACACCAACTGTGCACTCAAAATGGTATCGTAATGTGGTAACTCAGGGGTAGTTGAGTGGAAAAGATCTGCTGTGTGGTATTTTCTGGGTTTTTCTCTACCCATTTCAGACACTACAGAATATCTATGAACCCTCTCTTCCTCTGGCTCTTGTCCATGCGTGGTCTGTTGAGGTTGTTAGCTCCTTGGACATCAAACTTTGCTCCTGAGCAAGTGGAGACAGTTATGTTCTCACTCTTGGAGCGAGGTTACCACCTTATTCCAGGAAAGGTGATGGTGCTTGATTTCCTCCCAAGCATCAGGCTTTACCCTGCATAAAAAGGACCCCCAGGACTGACATTTCCAGTCGTCTAATGTTATCACCATCATGAAAACTGTGCCTTGCATGTCTCTATAGCCAAATGGGCACTGCCTAAAGACTAGTACTGAGTGTCCTCTGACAGCCTGCAGCCCATCTGTCTCCCGTTCTCTTTGTGGAAATGAGGTGTAAAGTCAAACTCAGACCTGGTCTAGGTAGATGACCTGAGCAGAAGAACTGCCCTTGCTTAGAAAAGCTCTGAATTTCATCCCCTGGCTGTTATTAGCACTGCCTGTATAATTAGGTACTTAATCACATAAAGGTAAATACAGCAAAGAACTGAAGAGCCTTGGTGAATCCAGGCTGTGTTTGTGTAGTTAACTGTGATCTTGTCCTACATGTGCAAGTCATCCACTGTTAATTTGGAAGACGTGAATATGCATGGTCCATTTATACCTTGGAGTGCCACCTTTAGATATCAAAGGCTGCAAGAGAGCTCAGTAATGTAAGCCTTTTACCACCATTTAATAAAATAAAATGGTTAAACTTGTAATTGATGTCTCTGTTGTTGGAGGCTGGGGGTACAAAAGGGGGAATAATTATTCATGTTAATAATCTTTAGCTTTCCAGGAGGCAGCTAGCAAGAGGCACGCTGAGTTGCAGGGGAGAGCAGAGCTATATGGGCTGGGCTGAGCATGGTCAGCAGCTCCCTGGGGTCAGCATCTCCTCCAGATCTAAGTCTGGGGGAGAGGGCAGTCTCAGATGTGAACCTCAGGAGAAGTTCTTAAGTGAGTCTCAGAAGAAGGCTTTCTTTTGGGAAGCATCACCAGAAGTCTCACAAACCCTTGGTCTCCATCCCAAGATGCCTCTCAGCAGCTTTGGCTCTGGTTTGAAGTAGGAGAGTTATAACCCCTGAATCTTGTGGGTGATCTCCACAAATGCTGCAGGTGCAGAAATGTTCTTGGATGCTAGAGGGAACTTCTGGTGGATAAACAGGAGACAGGGGATCCTGCGGGTCTGAATGAGAAGCTGGGTTTTGTTTGTGTGGTGAGCACCTGGGGATTTGAGTGAGGGATTTCAACCCCACATCTTCTAAAAGCACCACTTGGCATCCCAGAAATCATAAAGCTGACTTTAAAACTATATTTTATTAAAAAAAATAAAAATCCTTGGTTTCTACTATTTTAATACTTCCAAGTGCATGTGGAAATTTGTCTTGTAAGCTTTTTCTTGCCCCTGAGTATTTGGTTAGTGTGGTGACATGCGGAAACAGAGGTCTGAGCAAACTGTTGAACACGGTGTTGGTGTTTAAAGATCAGCTGGACTAACATCTCTTGGGAATAACAGAGGTTAACTGGTGTGCCTTGGGGACTGGGAGGTGGACTAGGTGGTCATATGAAGGCCCTTCTAATACTATTTTTAAGATGAAGGCTGGAAATAAGCTTTTTATTAGATTAAACCGAGTGTTTCTCATTCACATGATTCCTAGAGCTGGGACATTTGAGAACATACTAACCATCATAATACTGCTGGTGGATATAATTGTGCAAATTAACAGTGTTTCTCTGAGATCTCATGTTATTTGAAGGTAAGCTCTGCCTTTTCCCTCTACCTGCTTAAATCCAGGACTGGAACCAAGAGCACACCAGTCTGAGGTCCATGCAAATACAGATCAGTAGCCAGAGCTGGTGACCGGAGGGATGTGTTAGGATGGGTATGTGAGCAAGCGTGTGGTCAGTGCTCATTACATCATGTAAGGGTGTTTTTTCCCCATGCTCAGCTTCTGCACAGGATATTACAAAAGTCCTTTATTTACATGGCAGGCTGAGAAAAGCTCGTGGATATTGTCATAGCTCCAGTGAAAATAATTGTACCCCAGGGAGTCAGTAACGTCGTACTTCTGGCCAAGTAGCTGCTTTGAGCAGGAGAAAAGAGGCAGTTCTCTGAGTGTGGTTACTGCACGTGTTCATAGGATTGGATCAGGTGCCAAAAGAGGCTTTGCAAGGCTTTCTGTCTCTTCCCTCCTGCAGTCCTTGCTGGGAAGAAACCCAGTGGCCAGTGGAAAGTGTGAACATATTAAATCATAATTGTCAAGCTACTGGAGTAGCTCGTGAGCAGCAGGAACGCGTGGGTGGCCAAAGCAGTCTTGATCTGGGCAAGCTTATCTTGCTGCAGCTTGGTCCTTGTGTATTCAGGTGAGACTTTCTCCAGGGCCACATTTACTCCTGACATAACTCCACAGATGCCTACAACAAGTTTGGAATTGAAAATCGTTGTGTCCACAGGTCGGAATTGGAGAATCGATCTGCAGATGTGTGTGTGTGTGTGTGTGTGTGTGTGTGTGTATTGTGTTGGTGCTTTGTATGAACACACACTCCCACGGAAGGGTTGGATCAGAGGAGATCCTTTACTGGAGACTCTTGTCTCCAAGCTTGTGGGAGGATTGTTAGATGCTGAGATTTCCAGTATTGTATTAGAACTTTAAAGGAGGCATTGCTGCTGGGTTTTGAGATGAGCCAGAAGAGCAATATAGCACCAGGACATCCCCTTTGTGAATGCCTTCTTGATTTAAATCTGCAGAAGATGATTCATTGTGTGTCTCTCTGAAGGCAGCAGAAGGTAAAAGCAGAAAATTACATTTTCTTGGCTAGTTTAAGATTGTCCATGGGGGAACATTTGGTTGGGGTGATTCTCCTGGTCCCATGTTTGCCCTGTGCTGTATGTCTGCTTGGAGTTGTAGATACACTGCAGCTCATAAAACGAAAGAGAGAAAGTTCCTGGAATAAATGTTTGTTTTCTTTGTGATGATTCACGATGCTGGCAGGCAGTTTTTGGATGTGTTATTCCAGGTATGAGAGGGGCTGTGGTGTAGAGGGTAACTGAACTTAGCTAAGGTTCTGTGGCTCATGGTCTCTTCACTTGGTCTGATTTTTGAAGTCAGCATTTTGTCCTGCAGCATTAGAAGTCTGAAATCGGTTGTTCAGCTTCTGCTTCTGTCGTGTGCTTTTTTTTTTTCCTTTTTTTTTTTTCCCCAAATGGGCTCTGCATGTAAATGTTCACAAGATGGTATTGATCTCCTCAGAAGAAAGCATTAATTTTGCATTTGCCTATCAGACAGCTGTGCGTAGGTGGTGATAATCCCTGTTAGTCTTTGGACTTGCTTTTCAAATGTCAGTCTTTGCAGTCAGCGCTATCTCACTGCTTAGAAACGGGTTTTTTGGAGACAATTTTACCGTTTCCTTTTCTGTACCAATGCTGGGAAATTGCATTTTGCAGCCACAGTGGGGTCAGGCTGTGTGAGATGATCTCCCCAGCTGCGAGGAGGTCCAGCATCTTGCCTCTTTCTCAAGAACACTGTTCCTCTGGGCTCTCTAATCAACGGGAGTTGGTACTGCTCTTCTGGAAATACCTCTGACTGTCCTTTAACCTGCTGAAAGGGGAAGGTACCTGCCTGGTGCACATGCAGGAGGCACCTTTGGTGCTGTTGCTGGGCTTCAGGTGTTCAGTTGTACTCACTCATCTAAAAAAAACAAGTAGCTTTTGTTATGGGAACATTTAAGCTCTTCCTTAAGGCTTCCTGGGAGTAGTGTAGGGCTGTGGGGTTGAGAGCACACAATAGTCTTTGTGGTCTTTAGTTCAAGACTTAAAGGAAGTTATTTTGATAGTGAAATTTTTTGATCCAATGTTCATTTAGAGGCCTGATGGCTTGTACTGACGTCAGGGGCTTTCCTTGGCAATACCTGCTGGGAACAGCCCAGTGCTGTCAGTAGGGTGAGGGCTACTAACTCACTGCTTGCATGCTTGGAAGATCCTCCTCTGGCCTTGCAGCTCCTGGGGACTGGGGGGCTACACCTCAGATCTAGATCAACAGTGATGGTACCTGATGAGGGTGATCCAGAGCTGCCTGGTTTGCTGTTACCTATTTCCATTTGGAAGCATGTGGTTTCACTGTGCGTTGGGCAGCCTGGTCTTCTGACCAGACCAGCTCTGCTGAAGGTTCTTGAGTAACCTTGGGGAAATGACTTCACCTACCTGTGCCCCTCTTGTGAAACCCCTTCTGTCTGTCTTTTGATCCTTAGATCAAAAGTTTTAGTAAAAGCATTCAATTTTGTGTATCAAGAAAGGATTTGAACGGGTTCTGGAGTATTTATTGTACTTGGACCTTACATGAAGGAGGTGCAAAATGTGGTCAGCACCGTGTAGGGGGAGTTCTGCTTGTAGGGCATTGACACAGGCTTTGCACAGGGGATTTCTAGTCACAAGGTGCAGGTACTTGATTGGTTGCATATTTGAAACAGAAAATAGTCTTACCACTTGCACACAAAGCTGGCTGATGCTTCCCATCATAACTCGATTTTCAGTCATGTGTGGGCAAGGTACCTCATTTTTGTCCTGAACAAATGCTCTCTTAGATCTTTTCCCAGCCCAGCTGAATAGAGGCTTGAGAAAAGAAAATCCTTAGAAATCTCAGTTTTGTCTGTGAATTACTGTGCAGGATGCTGGCAAGAATTCCCACAGCGTTAGGATGTGGTGGATTTGGATGGTCTGCTGTCAGAGGTAACTTTTGGGGAAACACTGGCTTTTAGGCTGTTTGGTTTGCAAACATAAGCATTTCTAAATTTATTTATTTTTTTTTAAATTATGGCAATGGCTGTTGCAGGTGGAAGTCAATTCTTGGGAAAGCAAAGGCAGGTGTTTTCTTGAATGCAAGTTTAACACCACTGTGCTACCTTAGAAATGTTACGACTTGTAAGCGACCTGTTTTTCACAGGCAAACATCATATTAGATCAGCATGATCAGTCCTGTAGCTCTCTGTGGGCCAATTTTACCTTCAGGGAATGGCTGTCCTTTTTAATGATTCATTAGATTTAACAAACTACATCCCATGAATACAGCTGGCTGGGATGGAGGAGGGTGAGGATTGCATTGCAGCTGGGGGTGCTAGGAAAAAAATAGAGTGACAAGGAGGAGAGGGTGTGGGGTGAGTGGGGGGTTGTCACTGTGGGTCAAATGGGGATCATCTAGCAGGGGGTTGAGTGGGGCAGCTCCAGCCCATGGTCAGCCCAGCACTGTTGTGGTGTTTGAAGGCAGTTAAGCTGCACTCCAGGGATCAGTTTGGTGTAACACCTTTGAAAGATGTAGTTTTAGGGGGGGGAGTAGCTGAGCAGGACCTTTATGGGTTACAACTGATGCCCCTCATCCTTCAGACCCCCAGGGTCAGGGCTGTGGTGAGCAAGAAGACTGCCCCACAGCAGACTGGGTGTCTGAGGAGCCCTAAAGCCAAGGCAAAGAGGAAGGTCCTGTTCACACACCAGTTTAGAGGGTCACGGGCGAGACTTGCACCCGTATTTCCCTGCTTTAATTTGCTGCCTGGGCTCCTCCCTCTAAAAGCCTCTGGATCCTGTCCTTGGACTGACTCCAACCCCGTTGCCTCTCGCATGTTTTACATCCTCTGATTCAAGGGCTTGGGGTTTTTGATTTATTTTTTTATTATTATTATTTTCTTTGAAAGGTTAAAGTTTTTGGTTGGTTTTATTTTTTTTCTTAATGAATGTGTTTCCCCGTTGTTTCCTTCCTGGATGTTGATCTCGTACCCGCTGTAGGCATGACGGCTATTCTGATGTCAGCCGCTGGACTCCCCGTGCACCTCACCTATGTGCCGCAAGCTGCCAGAACCCATAAAGCCACTAAAAAACACAGCTCAGTTAAGGAGGGGAGGAAAGTGTCCAAGAAAGGTAGTTCCTGCTCAAACTCTGATATTTGCTTCCATCTCCTTCTCTTTTATCTCTCTGCACTTGTTCTGCCTCCCTCCTTTCCTCTTTGTCTCTCCCCTCACCCTCTTGGCTCGTCTGATTTGACTGATGATGTTCATCCCACCAAGGGGAGAAGCAGGGCACGTCTCCTCTGGCCTGCACGGTCTCTGACAGGCTGTAAAATGAGATGATAAAGTAGACCCTATCCTGTGATAGCTCTGCTCGTTTCCATCAGCCATTCAAGCTCGAGCAGCCCAGTTGTTCTCTGTGCATGTCAGAGACTTCTGCAGCCTCCCCCATGGTCCTGCTACAGCCTTTTGGGGAGCCCTGGGTGTCCACCTACCAGGACCTTCTCTCACTCATTGGTGGGACAAGTCTGGGAGCTGAGTGACCATCATGGAGGGCATTTAATCCATGTGTGCTCTCCAGAGAAGGTCTGCTTGTGAGCTGTGCTTGTCATGGCTGAGTCATGGGATGAGATGGATCTTCCAGACAAGCAGCCCTTGAGTCATATAGGCCTTTCAAGGTCAAATTGAAGAGAATTTGTTCTCTCCCTCTGTCTGGGGTGGAAAGGAGTGGAGTGCTCTCAGGTGGACATGCCCTGGCAGGAAGGGCTGTGTTACCCCAGCTCTCTGCTGAGCTGAGCCACCTTCATTTCTCCTCTTCATATCTCACTGGCAGCCCACACCCTCACCCTTGCAGAGTCTGTGGGCTCCCAGTTTAGAGCCTGGGTCCCATCTGTGTGTAGCAGTCCTGGGACTCTGCGAGGGTAGGTGTGAATTCAGCCTGGTGTAGCTGTAGAGGTTGTTTGCCAACCCCAGCACAAGTGGGGTGGTCAACCACCACCAAATCTAAGGTGCTTCCCCCTTCAGATAAGCAAAGGGGGGAAAAAAGGGGGGGGGGGGGGGAACCACCCACTAGAGGTGGGTGGTTTTTCAACTTGGGCCTGCTTGTGTTTAAGGGTGAGGGAAGAGCCCTGAGGTTGAGGTGAAGAGGCATCTGGCTGTCTTGGGGAGTTTGTTGGTGCCAGTGTCTCTCTCCTTGGAGAAGTGCTTGCAGTGAGGAGGCTTGATGGGGAATGGAGGTCCAAACTCATCCAAAGGAGGCAGGAAGGGGTGGTAGAAGGTAGAAATTAAATGCAGAGGGGAGGTATCTTGTGGAAATGCATTATAGAGGGAGATGGGAGGAGGAGACACAAACGGCGAGAAGTGGGGAGAGAGCAAACGTGGAGTAGGATGTGAGAGAGGAGGAGGAGGAGAAAGCAGGGGGGTGGCAGGAGGAGCGTCGAAGAACAGGAGGAGCAAAGGAAAATGGGAGGTGAAGGAGAAGAGCTGAGCAGAGGTGGGTGGCAGAGGGGCTGGATGAGGACCTCGCTCTGTGGAACCAGCTGGCATGGTGGTGGGTAACACCGACTCCTGGTGCAGGCAGCATCCATCCAGCCCTACACAGCCAGGGCAGAGGGGCTGGGTGGTGGGGACACCCTGTAAACTGCAGAAAAAGAGCTGCAGAGAGGCCAGGTCCTCCTGCAGAGGCATTGCCTTGCCCCCATCCTTGGAGGAGCTGGAAAAACTGAGGGCCAGGCCTGTTGGTCACCTGCTGCTGGTTAATGACATGAAACTAGCCACATTTAGGGCAAGGTGTGTCCACAAACACACAGCCCCGCTCCTCTGCAGTGCCGCTGGCTGCCGGCTTCTCCTTGGTGGGGTCTGTCCATAGCAGCACACTCGCAGCATCCAGCCTGTCCTTGGTGTGCAGGAGATGTGGGTGCCAGCGACCAGGGTGCTTGTGAGAGTGTGTGTGGTGTTCATGGGAGGATGTCCTGCACCTTCTGAGCAGGGTGGGGAGAGCAGCAATGCAGAGCATGACATGAGGTGGGTGAGGAAGATGGGACATGGGCTGGGGGCGAGAGCAGCATACGCTGGGTTTGGTATCCATCAGGGGAGCAGAGGGGCGGCTGTAGCCAGGCCTGGTGCCGCATGTCCCATCAGCAAGGTGAGATGCTGGTTCATTAGGACAAGGGGAAATGGCCTCAAGTTGTGGCCAGGGCAGCTGAGATTGGATGTGAGGAAGAATTTCTTTGCTGAAAGGGTTCTCAGGCGTTGGAAGGGGTTGCCCAGGGCAGTGGTGGAGTCCCCATCCCTGGAGGGATTGAAGAGTCGTGTAGACAAAGTGCTGAGGGACATGGGTTAGTCAGGGGCTTGTCGGTGTTGGGTTCATGATGGGACTCAATGATCTTAAAAGTCTTTTCCCATCAACAGTTCTGTGATTCTATGATCAGCATTTGCTGCAGCACCTAGGAGCACACGCGTGGGTGGGTGTGCTGGGGCAGAGCTGGTGCCAGTCTCAGCCCTTGGGAGGGTCCAGGCAGCCGGTTTAGCCCCGGGCTGTGCCTGGTGCCAGCCCCAAGAGCCAGGCCTGAGGACCTGCCTAGCTGCCACCTCCCTGCCAGCTCACCAATGCCACCTGCTGGGGCCAGCACACCTCCAGCTCAGGGAGCAGAGAGGGGACATCAGCAGGAGGGATGGGACAGTGTCTGGGGAAGTGGCACCGAGCAGCTCCTTCTCCCATCTGGCAGGGCAGGATTTGTCCCAGCCATCCTCATCTTGCTCAGGACGTGCTGCAGAGGAGGTGCTTTGCCAGCTCTGCCCTTTCCAGTGCTGACCCCTGAGAAGGGGGTGCCTTTCTCTGCTTTAGTTTGCTAAAATCACCCTTCTCACTTTAGAAAGTGGGGTCCCCTTGGCTGGGGACAGGGAGGCTGGTCCTGCAGTGTGCACGACTCCTGGGATGAAGAAGGTGCTGAGGAACAAGCTGTGTTTGTACAACACCCTTGGGGCTCAGGAATGCTGCTCTGCAGTGAAGATAGTGAACCTGCCTTTTGGCCAGATGGTTCTTTTTCCCATTACAGGCCCTGAAGCTGCCAAGAGGCAGAGAATTTGTGCCCTGAATTTGTCCATCACATGTCCTTTCCCCTCCCACACCTCTCCAGGATTTTCCATCCCGGAGTGTGCCCATCAGTGTGCTGACTGCAACCAGCTGGTGCCAAAATAGGGGCTGGGGGGGCAACGTACCCCCACCAAGCCCCTTCTCACTTCCTTCTCCTGCCCCTGGTCCCGCAGGGGTTGAGGGGATGCTGATGGAGTGGCAGTCAGCTTGGCCAACAGCTGGGTTGTTAAACAAAGGTGCTAATTAGTCAGGGCTCATTAGCCTTGGTGCTGTTCTGGCAGTGATGTCTCTGTGCTGTGCTGAGGGTGCTGCAGGTCTCAGGGAAGCCGTGGTCTCCGAGCAGGCACTGTGCTGTTGGTGCTGGAACGTGTCCTGGCAACCTGATGGATCAGCACTGCCGTCCATGGACCTGTTAGAACGAGTCCAGAGGAGGCCACGAGGATGATCCAAGGGCTGGAGCAGCTCTGCTGTGAGGACAGGCTGAAAGAGTTGGGGCTGTTCAGCCTGGAGAAGAGAAGGCTCCAGGGAGACCTTCTAGTGGCCTCCCAGTACCTGAAGGGGCTCCAGGAAGGCTGGGGAGGGACTTTGGACAAGGGCAGGGAGTGACAGAACAAGGGGTGATGCATTTAAACTGGCAGAGGGGAGATGGAGATGAGATGTGAGGAAGAAATTCTTTGCTGTGAGGGTGGTGAGACACTGTCCCAGGTTGGCCAGAGAAGCTGTGGCTGCTCCTTCCTGGAGGTGGTTGAAGGCCAGGTTGGATGAGGCTTTGAGCAACCTGGTCTAGTGGAAGGTGTCCCTGCAGGGGGGTTGGGACTGGATGAGCTTTAAGGTCCCTTCCAACCTAAACCAGTCTGGGATTCTATGGTGTGTCACTTGTGACCCTTGCAGCTGACGGGATCACCATCTGCTTTTCTCCTGGCTTGGAGGTTTCCCTGCATGTCCTCTCTGGGGTGGGCAGTCATGTGTGGAGTGCTGTGATCACAGAGGGAGGGGAGGTGAGGTGACCATGCTCATCCTTCCTTGCTGATCAGGATGGGATCTGGCAAGGTGAGGGGAGTAATCCCAGCTGACTCTAGTCGCTCCCCATATGTCCTGTCCATCTGCAGCTGGGACTATGGACCGTGTCAGTGCCTATGGGATGGGTTGGACTGGGGGAACCCCTTGGAGTCGGGAGAGTTCACTGTTCCCATGGGGTCCATCTACTCCAGGAGCCAGGCTGCAGTAACAGGGATGCTCTGTGTCACAACCAGAGCAGCCTGGTCGCTTGGTGAGTCTACTGAAATGCTAAATGTGGAAAAATGTGGTTTTAGCAGCAAATCTCTCACCTTCCTGATCTCTGGGCAGCCCTTTTGGGAGTTGAGGTCAGTGATCCAACCTTTGCAAGTCCAGGGAACAGAAGTGATCACAGTTGGGTGACTGTCCATGATGATAACTAGAAACAAGCTGTGTCTGGGCTGTGTTAGGGTATCAAAAAGAGAAGAGTCTGCTGCTGCTGCTAACCATATGGCAGGTTTGGGGATGCAGAAGGAGGTATGATACTGTTCCAAGCATTGGGTTGCTGAGGAAGGATTCGAAACATCTGTTAAATGTTGCCCATGGAAAGCTCTTGCTTCAGCAAGCAACTTATTATCTACAGGGAGGAAGAGGAAGCATTTAAAACAAAACTAAATCGTTATTCCTGTCTTTGTAAATGAAAGCAGGACAAACATTCCTTCACCTCCCCGAGAAATTGATAGCACAGCGTTAGGCCAGCTGGTGAGAAACAGCATCGGTCAATTCTGCTATTGCATTTGCAATCTGCTCTTGAATCCTGAAAACTCTGGGGACTGCAGAGGCTTGATGTTCCCAAGGGATGGCTAGAACAAAGATTTGGAGGTAAATGCTTTTATGGAGCAAATGGTCTGGTAAGGAAGTGATTCATGCACCGAAGTGTACGTGGCTCATGCTTCCCCAGCCGTCTTCTACCTCCCACCGTGCTGCTGGGATGTGCCCTGCCAGGTGTGCTGCTCTGCCCAAGGAAGAGCCTCTCTTTGGAGGCAGGGAAGGCTATGTGGGCCTCACTACCCTTCCTGAAACCAAGTTATCATCAAAAGGCTTTCCTGGGACTGGGGACATTCAAGCACTGGCAGTTGGGGACAGATTTTTCTAAAGCATCTGGGCTCCTCATTCCTTCCTCTCTCCAGACAACCTTGGTGGATCTAAATGCATCAGAGCATTATCACAGCAAAGTGACAGGAACAGATCAGAGATGCCACAGTGCAAACCCATCAGGCATGGGTTTCCTAAGGATGGCTGAGGGCTGCATCACCATCTTCTGCCTCTGATTGCCCCCAGCTCCATCCTAATGCCATCTGGTGAGGTGGTGTAATGCCATTTGCTTTGCCCAAAATCCCTGCTGTACCCCACAGGCTCTGCAAGAGCTTTCCTGTCCTCACTCTTACCCAGCCCTGCACTGAGATTTTTGTCTCCATTCATTGATTTGATTCAAATTCATTCTTGAGCAAATAATCTCTTTTGTTTATCTGAACTGCTACAGAGAAAGGAAAGTCAACAGCAAGAGAAACACCCAGCAGGAGCTGCAGGGCGGGAGCATCCTCTGCTCTCCTGAACAAGGTGAATTGCTCTAAAGCTGCTCAGCTCTGCTGTGCAGGTGGGAGCAGGTGAGCTGGGACCTTCTGCCAAGTACTGGGCAGATGTTGCTGCTGGTGTAACACATCCTCTCTGCTGTCTTCACCACCTTGTCTGCATATCTTTTTGGCATTTGCTTTCTCCAGCCTGTAGCTAGAAGAGACAAGAAGGAAAGTCACTTCAAAAAGAGCCACCTGGAAAACACAGTCTAGAAGGACTTGACGGGCAGTCTAGCAGGCAGCATGAGATCCCCAGGACTGAGAACGTGGTGGTCATCATGATCGGGTTTTTTTTTTATGGTGGGTAGCAGCTAGCCCTGCTCACAGAGGCGTGAAGAGCAGAAGAAGCTGAAGCCTCCATCTCCTCTGTGACCATGCAGGTCTCTTGCCAAGCCAGAGCCTGGTTCCAAATGCCATGTGTGGAAAGTACCACCCTGTGTTTGCCAGCCTGGAGCGGGGATGTCACAGGGCACACAGCTGGGAGGGCTTCAGGCACAGTAAGCACCGAGCTGAGCTGATGATGAGCTGAGTCAGTTCAGACTGATCACATCCTCCTATGACTCGTCCCGGGCTGGCAGCTCTTGATCTGCTGCGTATGAGCAAGGTCCCAGCAGAGGAGATTCTTGGACCCGTTTCTCACCTTTGGAAAAGGCAAGGCAAGGAGCTGCATTCCCCGTGGGATCTGGTGATGAGGCCTTGAAGCAGCTCCTGGCACTGCTGGGCTCTTGGCCTGAGAGCTGGAAGGCTGGGACTTGCCCAGGTTCCTGTTTATCTCCTGCTCTTCTTATGACAGTTCTTGGAAATGCTTTTCCAGGAGATTTTGGCATGCCTCTGAAGAGGAAAACGCCTGCTTCCAGGTTCTTCTTTGGCTTAATGCTTATTTTATCCTGTTACCTTCCTGGCTAAGGGTCTCGAGAGGGTGATCCTCGCAGCCCCGCTCTGCCTGAGACATCAGGCATCTCTCCTGCCTGGTGCTGGCCCTCAGAGGGAGCATCCCTTCACCTCCTGGGCTTCTTTTCTTACTCTGTGTGCTCAGTCATTCTTTCCTCCTGCTACTTCTGCCAGAAATCCTGTGTTTCAGGATGGCCAGGAATCCCCTTCTGAAAATAACTCATCTTAATGACTGTGTCTTCATTTAGGAGAGTCCAACTCCCAGTTCATCAGTCTTCCTTAGCTAAATGATTTTCCACCCACGTTAGCTCTCTGCCTCACTCTCTTCTGTTGCCCCGAGCTAGCTCAGCTGCAGTGAAAAAACATCTTTTCCCTGGTGGCATCTCACTCAGCTGCCTGTGCTGCAGGGTGACCTGGTGCTCTCTGTCCAGGTGCCCCTGTAGCACGAGCAGCTTGCAGAGCTGGCATTCACAGGAAGGATGGGCTCCTGCAGGATACAGGATCTGTGCCATCCAGGTCTCTGCCAGTTTAACGACACCCACACCGTGTCAGCGGTCCTTCCCTTCTGCTTCACCATCTTTGTGCCTCTACCCTGAAAAGTGATTATCTAGAAAACAGCACCCACCCGTTCTGCCTGGTGACAGAAGCTGCTTTTTAGGGTGACAGAACAGCTCGGTGCTGGCTGCAGTGTGACTGTCTCTTGATGCACAGCTTTTTCAACCACACAAGCAACACTCATGAGCCCTCCATCTTCCTTGAAAGCACCAAAGTAGACAGGGAGAGCTGAAGATGCACCCACAGCTCTGACACACGGCAGTTGTACGTGGTGATGCTCTGTGTCCACTTGGGAGTGTGGAGTTTGGAGGAGCAGTACTCTTTGTGCTAAAATACAGCTGGTGTCCTACCGTGGCATAGAAATGAGCTCGGGAGCAGAGTTCTTTGGGGGAGTGCTGGAGTACAACTCCCTCACAAGGCTCTGGGGTGTTGAGTGTGGATGCATGTGGCCTCTCCAGCCATTGTTAGTGTTTCCCAGCTCCCTGAACTGCCCTGGCAGCGTGGCTGGCCAGGATGGAGGAGAATGGAGAAGGAATAGCTATGCCTTTGCTGGTACATTCATCATACCACTGCTTTCCCCTCCATCTCCCCCAGAAGTAGATTTGAGAAGGAAGGATGGGGTTCCCCCCGCAAGCCAAGTGACAGGTCTCTCTTTTGCCTCTTGCCAGGTGGAGTCCTAACGTCACTTGTGCAAATGTTTCCTTTCCTAGGCTGGTGGAAGAGCTTGACAGCCTCTGTGACGGGCCTGATGACCGGTAAGGAGCTCATCTCCTCTCGCCCGGGGCTGGGCACCGTGCGGAGCTGTGCAATGCTCGCTGCCTTAAGCCAAGCCTTGCTGGGCAGCTCCAAAAGGTTGGGCTGGGAGTTGAGGTGACTGCTGATGCTCTCGGCAATAACTTGCTCTGGGTGTTGTGTGGTGTTTGTTGCTTAATCCCATAATGTCTCTGAGGGGAGCAGGCTGCTGGTGCTGGTGGGCTGCTCGGGTGCCCGTGTCTGGGTAGATGGGGATCGGGGACTATGTTTAGGAAACTGGAGACATCAGTGTTGTGTGCTGCAAATCGGGTACCTGTTAGAAAGCTGCTTTGTTTTATATACCCTGTGACTTGCGCTGTGTCTTGCTGGATACATGTGTGTGGAAGCTGAAGAGAAAGGCCACTGTTCCGTGTTGAGGATGTGATGCTCGTTCTGCTGTACTCAAAGCAGGGCCTGAAGCTCTGTGGATTGCTGGGTCTCCTTGTCAGGTGCCAGCTGGGGCAATGTGGGAATGCCTTTTCTCCTTTGACAACACAGATGATGGAATCTTCTGTCCCATTGAGACCATAGTGTCCTTGGGTTGAGTTTGATCCTAACTCTGGCCTCTGCTGTGCACAAAGTCCAGCTGGGACCTGGCTGGCATCGCCTGGGGTACGTGGGGAGAACTGGAGCATGGCAGTTACAGGCAGACCCCTGGGTTTATGGCACAAGGCACCAATATCTGCTGGTGGGCTCTCCCACCTGCGGCACCCACAGTCCTAGTGGTAGCCATTTCTGATAGCAAAGCCTTTGTGGGGCTTGTAGGGACCAGTTGGAGCAGCCTCTTCTCCCCATCTAACCCAAACCTTTCTCCTTGGCGTCCTGGCCAGTGAATTCCTTGTCTCCCTTCTCTCTAGCTCACCCTGCACGTGCCGGTCATATCTCATAGTGTGTCTGATTTCTTCTCTCTTTTTCTCATCTCTCTCCTTGTGCAGCAACACCAACAGACCCAGAAGCAGTGGTGAAGAAGTACCTGGAAGAGCTGAAGGGCACTCCTACCGATGAGGTGAGAGGACAGTGAAGTGTCCCACTGGGCAAGCTGGAGTTGCTTGCCCAGTGGGACACTCACTGGGGTGCTGTGAAAACCATGGCAATGCCCGAGGACCATCCTTCCTTGGGCATCCCATGTGTGGTAGATACTGCTGCTTGCAATGGTGTTGTTGATGCTAGATAGAGAGGCCTCAACACTGCCTGAAGCCCACGTGTGGTAACTCAGCAGAGGACAATGACAGAGAAAGCACGGTGTGGGTGGAATAGCTACGCCTGGCAATGCCTCCCCATTTCCCTTGGAGCTTCCTGCAGGGCCTGGGGTGGAGGAGGGAGTTTGGCTTTGGTGTCCTCTCAGTGCTCATAGAGGTCAAAACCCTGCACTGGAGCTGCTCTGTAGAGGAGCAGGACATAACCGTACTCGGTTCCCACTGATCCCCTCTGCCTGAGGGCAGCTCTCTTCCTTTGCTGTCCAGGAGGTGGTGGAGTGGGGTGATACCAGCCAGATAAGGAAACTGGTCTCTGTGCCCTTAAACCTCAAAGGGAAGGATTAAAGTTGAAGGCAAATCTTCCTGAAGCATCTCCTTGGTGGGTCGGTCACTACGATCAGCCTGTGCTCGCACTACACAGTGGTTTTCATAGAACCACAGGCTGGTTTAGGTTGGAAGGGACCTTAAAGCTCATCCAGTCCCAACCCCCCTGCAGGGACACCTTCCACTAGACCAGGTTGCTCAAAGCCTCATCCAACCTGGCCTTCAACCACTTCCAGGGAGGAGCAGCCACAGCTTCTCTGGCCAACCTGGGCCAGTGTCTCCCCACCCTCAGAGTGAAGAATTTCTTCCTCACATCTCATCTCCATCTCCCCTCTGCCACTTTCAAGCCATCACCCTTTGTTCTGTCACTCCCTGCCCTTGTCCAAAGTCCCTCCCCAGCCTTCCTGGAGCCCCTTCAGGTACTGGGAGGTCACTAGAAGGTCTCCCTGGAGCCTTCTCTTCTCCAGGCTGAACAGCCCCAACTCTCTCAGCCTGTCCTCACAGCAGAGCTGCTCCAGCCCTCACATCATCCTCATGGTCTGCTCTGGACTCGCTCCAGTAGGTCCATGTCCTGCTGTTGGTGGCCCCAGCACTGGAGGCATCACTGCAGGTGGGGTCTCAGGAGAGCGGAGCAGAGGGGCAGAATCCCCTCCCTGGACCTGCTGCCCACGCTGCTCTGGGTGCAGCCCAGGATTCTGTGCTGCGAGCGTGTGTTGCTGTCTCATGTTCTCCCTTCTGCCTTGGACTCCAGGACTGTATCATCTGCATGGAGAAACTGTCCTCCCCCTCCAGTTACAGCGACGAATACGACAACAGCACAATCAAGCCAGAGACAGTCGGTCGTTTGACAAACTGCCAGCACTCCTTCCACATGCTCTGCATGCTGGCCATGTACTCCAGAGGGAACAAGGTACCGAGCTGACCTGTCCCCACCAGGTCCTCTGTGCCCGGGTGACTCGGCTGTGGAGCTCTGATGGCTGCTTCTCTCCCCTGGCAGGACGGGAGTTTGCAGTGCCCCTCTTGTAAAACCATCTACGGAGAGAAAACCGGTACTCAGCCCAAAGGGAAGATGGAGGTCTTCACTTTCCCCCAGTCCCTCCCTGGCCACAAGGACTGTGGGACAATCCAGATTGTGTATCACATCAGCAGAGGCATCCAGGTGAGTACAGGAACGGGTGCTGCTGGATAGCACAAGCTGTGAGAGCCTCCCAGGAAAGTACTGGGATCCAGTACAGTACCTGCTGGTGGCCCACCACTGAGCAGCTGCACTGGCTGTTCTTCAAAGGATAGGTTACTTGGGTCTCCTCCATGAAAGATCTTTTCCTACTTTGAGAGTGGCCCCAGGATCTACAACAGCCTTTCCCCTGCAGTAAAGACTGATGTCTGCATGAAGCAGGGAGGAGACTCAGCCCATGTTTACAAGGTAGGAGACATCCCAAGGTCTGGTATTGCAACCCACGTCTGAGGTTTCGGTGGTTGCAGTGAGCTTGCAAAGGTTTGAGCTGGGTGGTCTTTTTAGGATGTCATCAGACCACATGGAAAAAAGCTGGGATTTGGTGCTGTCTCCCACCAGAATTGAAGTAATCTGAAGAGCTGGCTTTGTACCCATCTGCTCTTGGAGAACCCATAATACTCACATCTCCCATAAGAGCAGGTTGGATACCTCCAACTCATCATCAGCAATTCCTTGCTGCTTTTACATGAAAGAGATAGTTTGAGGTGGACCTATGTCAAATCCTGCTGCTGATCCTAAATCCCATCGCTGAGGGATTGTCCAACTCATGTGAAGATGGATGTGTCCATGCCAAATGTCTTTTTCCTATTGCAGGGCCCCGAGCACCCCAACCCCGGGATGCCATACACAGCAAGAGACTTTCCTCGCTACTGCTACCTACCAGACAACGAGAAGGGCAGAAAGGTAAGACATCACCCCCTGACGACGTGACCCTCCTCAGGTTGTCTCCTGGCCCTGTGTTGGTGGATCAGCACGATGGCGTTGCCTTTGGGAGCTGTCCCTTTGATGCTAACCAGTAGTTGTCCATGCTGCTTGGTCCTTCCATGTAGAGTCATAGAATGTTGTGAGTTGTAAGGGACCCACAAGGAGGGGCCGTGAGAGACGCTGAGGGCACAGCTTTTTGCTGTGTCAATACCATGGCTCCTGCTGTTCTCAGCTCCTTGATGATGGGTTGCAGCCTCTGAGGTAGCAGCACCCTCCCCACCCGAACTGCCACGCCATGCCCTTCTGCCACACCACACCCTGTGTGCCCTGCTCCTGTCACTCCTGAGGGCCTGTTCACAGAATCACAGCATGGTGGGGTTGGAAGGGACCTCAGGAGATCATCCAGTCCAACCCCCCTGCCAAAGCAGGTTCCCTACAGCAGGTTGCACAGGA